TGTTACCTTTAAACTAGGACAGTTCAGTGCTTAGTTTTTTTCAACCTAACAGCTTAAGGATTTTTAAGCATAAGCTTATAATGAAAAAAAAAAAAAACACAATAAATTAAGCCAATTTGGAATCTACTATGAGCACAGCAGGTCAGCAACAAGTTTATTATTGCGCTAGCAAGGTATCAGGGTAGGGCGTGGCTAAGTGTTGGGCTAACTTTCCTTGAGCTCCCTTGCACAGACTTTTGCAGGCACATTTCCCTCTGGTATTTGTGACGGTTTGTTGTGGTTGGTTTGTCTTTATGAGGGGCGGCTGGGTGGGGGAAAGCAAGGCAGAAGTAACATGAAGCGGCTGTAGCCTCCCTTTCCAGCCTGGTCACAGGAACTCGGGGCAGTTCACCTGATCTGTGATAGTCATTTTCTCAACTTCGATGTTATTAGAAGTCAGGATATCTTTTAGAGAGGTCACTGTTTCTGCAGGGAGGTAAGGGTTTCTTCCCAAGATCCAAGCAAAATCCACGTGAAAAAGCCAGACGATCGTGGTGCAGGAGTACACAAGGGCATAGTTCTCGTAGTCGGTGGCCAGGACCCAGTACGGTGACGATGGCATCACTGAGGACCAGAGGAAGGCAGGATTAGGAGGGACCAGGGTAAAAGAAACCTCACTCCAGGACTCCGGAAACCAGGCTCTGGGGGCCTATTTCTTCTGGATCAGTGGTTCTCAACTCTAGCTTTACGTGGGAAGCACACAGCAGCTTTAAAAAATATTAAGTCCTCCTTCCCTTAACTTCCTCTAGATTCAGACCTGGAGGTGGTTGGTACTTTTAAAAGCTCCCTAGTGATTCTATATATGGCCAGAGTTAAGAACCATCACTATAGTCCTCCTCCCTGGTAGCAGGTGGTCTCTTGGGGTAACTGGGGGGTTTGGCTGAACCCCCTGGACTGACAGGCTGCACTTAGCACCAATGCACATGGAGGCACCACTTAGCTAAGTGGAGTCAAGAATGCAGGACCAGGGCCCCCAGCTTTCCGAGTCTGTACCCCCTAGCTTCCTCTAGAACCTGCCCATGGGAGGAGGCAGAGGCTAACTTATTTTTGTTTTTGTTCTTTTCTTCCTGTATGATCTTCAAAAATTCTACTCTTAAGAAAATGGCAGCCAGTTGGTAACAGGTCATAAGCTCTTCCTCACAAAGTGCCTACAAAGAGTCATCGATTGACATCTGTAAAGTGTTGAAAGCCCAGGAGTAAAGGGGTCCTTAAGAGGACAGATGGAGGATTTATCCTCTTCATGTGGATCTAGAAATTTCTTCTGTCAACTTGACCTCCATAGCCAAGGTCCAAGCCAAGGAAAATTCATAGCCCAGCCTGTTAAAGTTAAGTGGGAGATGGACCCAAGTGGGAGAAAGCTGTGTCCTGACCCCATAAGCAAGCACACAACACTTGGACACATATGCAGTCAGGGGTGACTTGCTATCCTGGGTTTCAAGCATTCCACCTCTTCCACTCAAAAGTAATCCTGTGAGGGCCAGGCGCAGTGGCTCACACCTGTAATCCCAGCACTTGGGGAGGATCTCTTGAGCCCAGGAGTTTGAGGCTGCAGTGAGCTATGATTATGCCACTGCACTCCAGCCTGAGCAACAGAGCGAGATCCTATCTCTAAAATAATAATAATAATAATAATAATAATAATCCTGTGTGCCAAGTCAAAATCAGAAAATCAGAACTCAGCACTCGTGAATGTCCCGAGACGCTGTTGGACAAAGGAGGCAGTGTGTAAGTGGTTAGAGCATGGCTGGGTGTCAAGGACCCAGCTGGGTATCAGGAGAACACAAGAGGGCTGGTCCAGACAACCACCCACCAAGGTCCCTGCTACCTCTGACTTTGTTTATAAATCTGGAAACAGAAGGACCCTTGGAAGAAGTCTGGACAGAAGCCTAGACTGAGTATTGTTCCTGACTCACCTTTCTAGCACTGTTGGTGCCCTGCCTGCCTGCCTGCCTCACTCACCCAGAGAGCGAGAGTGTTACAGGCATCATCCACCTGCTCTCTGTAAATTTCAGCTGCTCTGAGCACTCGCAGCTGGACTGAGAACTCTTCAGCACTGAGTGATTTTGGAAAAATATGTCTCCTACCTCTTCTAGCAGCAGCATGATGTCCCACCTGCACACACGCAGGCATGAACATTCTGTCTTCCTCTCACAGGGTCTAGCTCTCAAGAATAAATTTATTCAGGTATTTCCTCTTAGTACAGAAAACTTCTACGTCTCTCTCTTTCTTAGAAAATGTTGAGAGTCTACTATTGCTTATGGAAGAAACTCCAAACTGTCTTACGTGGCATTCGAGGCCATCCCTACCCCATGAACTCTCCCAGGCTTTCGGCCTCTTTATCCAGGCCTTCTCCTGTGCCATTCCCTCCACGTGGAACATCCTTTCCCATAACCTCCCGTACACCCTACAAGGCCCAACGCAAACGTTGAATCCCTCCAACCAGAACAAATCTCTCCCTCCTCACCTTCCCCAGGTAATAGCTCCTGCCTCTCTTAGCTCCTGCCCCAGGCTTCCTTATGAGGATCGTGCACATAGTATTTAACCTTCACTCCCATCCCCATTCTTGATCTGCGTTATGGGAAAAATACTCAGTTGAGAGTTTGGAGACCTAGGTTTAGGTTTCAACTTTCCCTCTAATTAGTTCAGTGTCTGCCTACACCACCCAGGTGTCCTGTACTTCAACTTCCTTCTTTGTAAAAATGAAAAGAGAAATTAACATGTGCAAAGCCCTTTGCAGTTTACGGAGCATGTGTTATCTAGTCTAGTTTATCTTTACAACGCTGGGCAGGTATCCCTGGCTTGTACATGTAGTCGTATGTGTGGGAAGAGCTGTTTTCTCCTCCCAGAAATCCTTCTTAGTCTATGAAGTAAGAACATCCTCTCTGCCCCACTCTAGGGACTGACCGGCATGGGGTGGAGGAGTGGCAGGGGTCGGGCGGGGGGTGATTTCTCTTGCAACTGTTGACTTCAGTGTCTGCCCTGTATGTGGGGAGAGGGCTCCTAAGCACTTTCAGCACCAGAGAGCCTCACAGTTCTGGGCTGAATTCTCCAGTGTATCTACATCAATAATAAAACTAATATTTGGTGATTTCAACGTTGACTGTGTCCATTCCTCACTTAGTTCAGAACTCAAAGGGCAAGTGCCTGTGATTAAATATCTCTCAAGGTCTCCAACAATGTGGCTAGAAAGTGGCAGAGCCAGCAATTAAACTCCCTGTCACTATTGTCATCTCTTGGCTCCAAGCTTTTGCACATGCTAGTTGTTCTGCTGACATCTGCTGATTTTTCTGGCCTCAGTTTCCTCTGGGAAACAACACTGGATTTGGTCTTCTATGGCTCATGCCCTCTGTGCTCCTGTTTGTGCTTCACCTATTGAAAGCCTGACTGTAGTTTCATAGCAAATTGGTTACTCGTCAGTAGCCACGCTGGGACGTAAGCTCCCTAAGTACAAGGGCCAGCTTTGTCTTGCCCTCTTGCCCACCGTTGCACCAGGGCATGGCATGTAGTGCGTGCTCATAAGTACTTATGTATTGAGTCATTACAGATGACACTCAGATGTGACAGGGGCACCCCAGTCCAGGGCTCTCGCCTTCAATTTGCATATCCCCGTCCCCGAATCCTTGTGAGAGAAGTGGACACTTACACCAGAAAAACTTCACTTCCAGCTTGGCGGGCTCCGTGAGGTTAACTGGGGTGGCTTCGCCTTCAATTTGATTCACAGTTCCATCCTGTCTGCAATGAACAAAACAACAAAAAAAACAAAAAAGAGAAGAGAAAATAAAAACATCTGATTGAAAGCCCAAAATCAATGAAAAGCAAGATGTGTGGCACTAAGGACCAGTGATCAACACAGATTTCTGGTGACAGAGGCTCTCAAAGGCAGGCCAGACCCTGGCTGCATGCCCTGCCCTTCCCATTGTGACTGTCTTAGAGATCAAGCCGAGGAAGACAGCGCAAGGTGATGAGAAGCAGCCAGGGAAATGCTCCAGGGCTGGATGAGAAGCTAGGCCCTTGCACTTCAACACTGTTCTTGGGATCTCTGCAATTGCCTGAAAGGCCATTTTCTGCTCCCAGGCTCTAAAGAGAGAGGCAGTAAAAGAGAAGAAAAACCAAGCAAGATAACCCAACACACAAAGAAGATTCGCGTCTTCAAAAATGAGAAGGGGCCAAAGGAATGAACAAGGATGGACTTGATCACTGAAAAGAATGTAAAACAGAGAGTTAGAGACCCAAAAGGTTTTCCCTTCTTTGGGCCTCAGTGATATCATGTGACATTGTCTGTCCCTTCAAGGGGCCTGAGCTCTGAGACACCTTCCGGTTCAGCAAGCGTCTAAGTGAGTGTGGAGGATTTCAACATAGGTCAGGTAAAAGCAGGCAGTGAGGAAACATTTACCTTATCTCGGTGATTCTCAGATGTGCCCACAACTCAGAGATGGGTTTTTTTTTGTTTTTGAGACAGAGTCTCACTCTGTTGCCCTGGGTAGAGTGCCATGGCATCAGCCTAGCTCACTGCAGCCTCAAATTCCTGGGCTCAAGTGATCCTCCTGCCTCAGCCTCCTTAGGAGCTGGGACTACAGGCATGTGCCACCATGCCTGGCTAAATTTTTCTATTTTTGGGAGAGACTGGATCTCACTCTTCCTCAGGCTGGTCTCAAACTCCTGACATCAAGCGATCCTCCTGCCTCGGCCTTCCAGAGTGCCTCAGAGATGTTAAATGTGAAGAAATACACATCTCACAATTGATGCCACCTGACAATTATGATTAGCAGTGTCAATTCTTTCTTAGTGATATATAAAATAGTGGTGTGTCTTCAAAGAGGTGGTTTTAGATTGGATGAAATACTTTCACCCTCTTGAATGGGCCTGGCCCCATTTCTGGATAACTCCCAATGACCCATGAACCCAGGAGGAAGGGAAAGGCCTGGGGAGGGAGGTACCAAAGGGAGAGTGCTCAGGCATCAGGGTGCCCCACCGGGGAAGCCAACAGAGGAGCTGTCTGTCCCTCAGTCCTCAAGGGGGGCAGGCAAACTAAAATTAAAGCAACAGTATGTGTTAGTCAGTAGGTTAGTGCTATGGTTGGTGGTGATGGATGTCCTAAAAACTAGACAATAAGCAACAGGTATGGGAGGTTGGAAAATGTCCCACTACATCCTCTGTTTATCACTGTGTAGGGCTAGAGACCATGCCCTGCGCTCTCACCTGCATCACGGATAGCTGGGACGATGGTCTGTTCTACCTGCGTACATTAACTTAGCAACACACCAGTCTCTTCCCAACAGACTCTCTCATTTCCACCGTCATTAGCTTTTTTCCTCAGCACAGTTTTCAAAACACCAATCTTTGATCATAAACTTACAGCATGTTCATGGCAAAAATGCATTTGTATTTTCAAGGATAGCAGTAAGTTAACAATAGTAGGTAATATTTATTAAATGATTACTACATGCCAAACCCCATTTAATCCTCAAACAGCCCCGTGGAGGTAGGTTCTATAATTGTTGTCATTTTACAGATGAGGAAACCGAGGCTTAGAGAATTATTATAACCAACCTAAGGTCACATGGTAAATGGCAGAACCAGGATTTGAAACCAGGCAGCCTAACTCCAAAGCCTGAGCCCTTCAGCTCCCAACCCTGTGCCAGCTGTTCTGTCCTCAAATTCTCTGATGTTGGCTAACAACAATCTCCTGCTCAGACTCTGTGCTGTCCTGCCCTCCGCTCATTCTACACTCTTCCCTGAAGGAGAAACTATACCATTTTTCCAGAATTAACAAACGTTCTTCCATGTGTTATTCTGTTTTAGACAGGTATAACCCTAGAGGTAGAACAACCTAATAATCTTCGTACAGTTAAAGAGGACTCCCGGCCAACTCCAAAGGAGAGGTAGAGGAATCTCATGGGTTTTGGGATCTGTGTCACTGACTCTTGGTCATAGAATGGGACAAAATATTTGAAATGAGGTCATTACAACTTTGGGGCCTCCAAAATTCCTGTGAGATCAGGGCATCTGCACCCCAATTCCCGGAGCTCTTCCCTCTGAAATGAGCTGGATTTTTCTTCAGAGGCCCTCAAGATCCTTGCTTTGTTTGCCTGGTTTATGCAGGGCCAGGGAGTCTACCCACTGGGTTTTGGCCCACAGAAATGTTAGTGGATGTTGGGATAACCACAGAAAGCCTCGCTGTTATTGTTTTCTTGGAGTTGAATAGTTCTCAGATCCCGTAGGGAACAAAAGGGCAGCCCTGATGTCCAACCTTCCTTTCATTTGTTTTCTGTCCTCTTCCCCATTTCACTGCACCCTGCGTTCAAATCTCAGCTTCATCATTTATGAGCTGTGTGAAACCCTTGGACAAGTTACTTTACCTCTCTGTACTTCCGTTTCCTCGTTAAAAATGATATTAATAATAGTACCTATCTCAGAGTTGTTATGGGGATTAAATGAATGTATATTCATTTATATATACATACACATACATCTATACACATGTACACACACGTTTATATACATGTATATCGAATGGTGCCTTGCACATAGGAAATGTGTAATAAATATTACTTACTGTTGTTTACTGCTGCTGTTATCTTTGTTCATGGAGGGTGAGTAGGAAGGAGTTCTTCCTGGGGCTCTTTTTAAGTTTATGTTTGCTTTCCAAAGTACAAATTTTTGGATCAAATATCAATGTTAGAAGCCCTCAGTAATAGATATGTACACTTCTATAGGCTATCCTGTTTACATAGTGTAAATATATATCTGTTTACAAGAATGTGAATATGTATGTATTTGATTTTTGCTTAATAAGAAAAAGTGTTTTCTAATAGGTGACACTGCCTGGAGATGGGGTAAACCATCACGGAAGGCGATGAGCTCCCAGTTCCTGAAAGTGTTCAAGCAAAGCTGGACGCTCTGGCAGCAGATGGTATCAGAGGGGCTTCTCTCTTGGTTTTGAGGCCCGACAAGATGGTCCCTGATGTCCTTTGCTGCCAGAGTATCTATTTTGCATTGAGGGCAGGAGCCCTGTCAGCTTGGGTTACTGGAGTGTCTCCACAGGGTCTAGTATACAACAGGTGCTCAGCAAGGGGTTATGGAAAATCACGAGTGGATTCTAGTCCTTGCCATCCCTGCCTGCCAAGAGCTCTCCTCTTGGTCCTGCTGTGAGCAGGCAGTCCAGGCAGGCAGCAGCGTTCCCATCCTCCCTGAGCCAGGCTGCCAACACCCAGCCACTCCAGGCCAGCACTCCGCAGGCCTGGCCCGGGAGGGGCATGGCCACTCACCCCAACTCCTTGTTTAGCACTTTGATGTTTCCGTTTTCCATTAGTGAGTAGTTGGCTTGGATGCAGGTTCCTTTCTCAAAGCTCGCTGGGATCTTCTCAATTTCATACCATCTTCCAAGATACTGCAGAGACAACAACAAGTAGAACAAAACCCTGTGGTTCTCTGGGGACCTGCAAACTCTTCCCCATTGTAGCCTTTCAGAAGCAGAGCCCTTTCCTGGGGAAACCGGGCAAAATGGGCCTCATTGTTCCCAGCAGCAACTGAGCAAGATATTGATTCCCTTGAGAAAAAGGGCAGCGGATGTGTGGGCACTGGGTGAGTGCTACATTCTATTCCTAAAGTGCTCTTTATTTAGATCTGCTCTCAGTGTCCTCTTTAGTCAAAAGCTCTGCGAAATTCTAGATCTTTAAAAGGAGGGGATGATGTAAAGGACCTTTCATCTCAAACATTTTACGATTCGACAAGGCATCTTTCAATCTTGTGCAGAGTCAGATATGTTCACTGCAGAGAGCTAGGACTCCAGAGTGGATGGAACTTTCCTCATATGACCCTGCACAGGGAACTGGTCACAGAGGCTTTTGGCAGGTGATCAGGATTTAGAAGACTTGTATCATTCTTTCTCTCGGGGCTGGCCCTCAGTCCATACTTCCAGTGGATGGAGTCAACCTTAAAGGAAGCTACCACTGTGCCAGCAAGGGTGTGGGGACACAGGCACTCTCAGGCTTCTGGACACGCCTCACGCGAAGACCAGACTAGTTTACAACCTCTGTGGAGGGCAGTTGGCACTATCTGGCAAAGCTAAAAATACATATACTCTTTGGCCCTGCAATTGCACTTCTGGTAATGCACCCTCCTGATAGAAGAAATCATGTATGTTTAAGGTTATCCATTGCAGTACTCTTTGTGATAATAAAAGATAGGAAACAGCCTAAGTGAACATCAGTAGGGGGCTGGGTAAATACATGACGGCACATCCATACAATGGAATTTTATGCATCCTCTTTGAAAAGAGTCATATGCAATTATCTCCACGATATATTTAATGAAAAAAGAGCCAGGTATGAAATAGCATATATATTTAGCTCCCTTTTGTGTAAAAATGGGGGAAATGGTTATTATATTGGATTTCTATTGCTGCTGTAACAAGTTACCACCAGCTTAAAACAGCACAGATTTATTGTCTTACAGTTCTGTAAGTCAGAAGTCTGACATGCGGCTCACTAGGCTAGAATCAAGGTATTGGTTATGTTCCTTTCTGGAAGCCATAGGGGAGAATCTATTTTCTTGTCCTTTCCAAATTCTAGAGGCCACCTGCATTCCTTGGCTTGGGATCCCCTTCCTTCATTTTCAAAGCTAGCAAAAGCAAGCCAAATCCTTCTCACATCGCATCTCTCTGACTGTTATTCCATCATCAAGCCTCTCTCTCTGACCATAGCTGGGAAACATTCTCTGCTTTTAAGGACTTGTGTGATTAGATTGAGCCCACCTGAATAGTCCAGGGATTCCAAGCTAATCTGGCCATCTCAAGGTCCGTAACTTCAAACATATCTGCAAAATGCCCTTTTTCATGTAAAGGAATGTTCACAGGTCCCAGGGAGTAGGACATGGACACCTTCGGAAGCCATTATTCTGCTTACCACAGTTTTATATGTATTTGCTTGTATATGTATACATTATCTCCAAAAAAGACACACAATAACTGGTTTTACTAGTTGCTACTGAGGATGGAAACCGACCTACAGAGGTGGAAGAGAAACTTTTCATTGTATATTCTTTTGCACGTTTAGATTTTGAACCATGTGAATATATTTACCTAGTCAAATTATTCACTGAAATTATTTTAGAAATTTAAAAATGTATTACTCAACAAAACAAAAAGAGATGCACTCGCCTTCAGAGCCAGAACTTGCAAAGAGAGCATACTGCAAACAGGTGGCAGTATTGCCTCTGTCACATGCTCTCTGCTCAAACATACTCCCACGCTTGTGACCATAAATTTTCCACTCATTTATTAAAGCACAGCTCTCAATTGAAACCACTGAGCTTAATATTCATCGAAAGCACCAAAGAATAAGGTTAAGGCTAACTGGTTGCATAGACATCCTTAGAAAAAGCTCCATTTTATATTGTGCATTTAAAATAGTTCTATATTGTTAAAGTGACTTTAGTGCTCCACAATTAAAATTGAGGGAGCTTGATTTTCCAGAAAAGAGGAAAGTCAGAGGTAGAAGATTGATTTTGATGTCATGCTCCCTCATGATCTCATTTTTTTTGTGATGGCCTCTTGATCTTCTCAGGTCTCAGTTTCTCTATCTATAGAAAGACAATTCGGTGTTTAAAAAGAATCTTAGAAAGGAAGAGGTGAAACTATATCTATTTGCAGATGACATGTAAAATACTCTGAGGACTCTAAAACAAAAACAAAAACTATTAGGTTAAAAGATACAAGATTAATATATAAAAATCAAATGTATTTCTATATTTCCAATGAACAATCTGCAAATGAAATTAAGAAAATTCCATTTACAATAGCATCAAAAGAATAACATATTTAGGAGTAAATTTAACTAAAGAAAGGTAAAACTTATATTCTGAAAACTACAAAATATTGTTGGAAAAAATTAAAGAACACCTAAGTAAATGGAAAAATATCCTATGTTAACAAACTGGAAGACAATATTGTTAAGATGGCAATACTCCCCAAACTGATCTTCAGATTTAAGCAATCTCTGTCAAAATTCAAATTGGCTTCTTTGCAGAAATTGACAAGCTCACCCTAAAATTCATATGAGTGTATAATGGATACAGAATAGCAAGGACAAAGTTGGAGGGCTCATACATTCTGATTTCAAAACTTACTTCAAAGCTGTAGTAATCAAGACTGTATGGTAGTGGCATTAGTATAGACATATAGGTCAATAGAATAGAATTGAGAGTCCGGAAATAAACTCTCATGTATATGGTCAATTGATTTTCGACAAGAATGGCAAGACTATTCAATGGGGAAAAGACAGTCTTTTCAACAAATGGTGCTGGAACAACTGGATATCCACATGCAAAAGAATGACCCTCATATCACACTATATACACAATTTAATTTAAAATGGATCAAAGACTTAAATGTAAGAACTAAATATATAAAACTCTTCAAAGAAAATATAGGAGTAAACCTTTATAATATTGGATTAGGCAATGGTTTTTTTTTTTTAGGTATGCCACCAAAAAACACAAGCAACAACAGGAAAAGGTAGACAAATTGAACTTCATCAATATTAAAAACTTTCGTGCTTCAAAGGGCACATCGATAAAGTGAGAAAATCCACAGAATGGGAGAAAATATTTGCAAATCATGTATCTGATAAGGGACTTGTATCAGAATATAGAGGGAACTCTTACATTTCAATAATTTTTAAAACCCCAGTTAAAAAATAGGCAAGGGATTTGAATAGAAGATATATTTAATACAAATGGCCAAGAAACACATGGAAAGATGCTAAATATCATTAGCCATTAGGGAAATGCAAATCAAAACAACAGGGCCAGGTGTGATGGCTCATGCCTGCAATCCCAACACTTTGGAAGGCCAAGGCAGGAGGATCTCTTAAGGCCAAGAGTTTGAGACCAGCCTGGGTAACATAGGGAGACTCTGGCTCTACAGAAAATTTAAAAATTAGCCAGGCATGGTGGCACGTGCCTTTAGTCCCAGCTACTCGAGAGGCTGAGACAGGAAGATCACTTGAGCCCAGGAGTTTGAGGCTGCAGTGAACTGTGATTGTGCCCCTGCACTCCAGCCTGGGCAACAGAGCAAGACCCCATCTTAAAAACAAAAATAAAAAAAATTCCAAATAGCCCCATGAGCATGTTAAAAAAAAAAAAAAAAAACCCACGATGAGATACTGCTTCACCCACACTAAAAATGGCTATTATAAAAAAGACAACAATGACAAGTTTTGGCAAACATATGGAGAAAATGGGAATCAGACACTGCTGGTGGGAATGTAAATGTTACAGTGTAGAGGACATTTTGTCTGGGAACGGTTCCTTGTTGTTTTTCTCAAGAACATGCCTGTGGGCTTGCACGCAAGCCAGGGCGCCCTAACCCTGCAAACAGGAGGGGCTAGAGAGTTCAGATGCAAACATCTGCTCACCGTAGACGAAACAACAAGGAACGGGACGTGTTGAGTCGGGACAGTGTGGGAACAAAGAAATTATGGTGGGACAGTTGCCAAACGCTGTGTTAAAAATAAAGAAACTGTGGCAGGAAGGCACTGCAGTCTTGTACCGTCTTTGTATGTGTCTGTGTCTCTTTGTCTCTGTGTTCATTCCTCGTCCCTAGAAACGGGCCATGAAGTACAGCTCTTTTGGAAGCTGCCAGCTGCCCACCTGAGAACGCATGTCTCTCCTCTCCACAGGCACTCCCACGGCCTGCCGGCATCCAGCTGTGGGACAATCTGGGGTGCATTCCAGGCCTTTCCTCTGAGGACCCCTAGCAGGACTGAACCCCGTTCTTCGCAGAGTAACTGCTGGTGACACACCCTTTATTGCTTCTCTGCCTTCTCGGTCTCTCTTTCCCACAGGCCCATTCGTGCTTCCTGGATCATCTTCCAAAAACTCCCTGCCCTAATCCTTGTCTCAGACTCTACTTTGGGGAAACCCCAAATAAGGCGAGTAACTGTCCCAAGGCTTGCTGCGGAGATTAGAGCAGAATAATAAAACTGAACCTTGCAGAGTGCTTATTCACACCAGACATGGCAAAACAAATGGGCGTTTAGCCTTTTACCACACCTTATTCACGTCAAAATTCTCCTGCACCGGGGGAGTCGGGCATGTCCCAAGATGGAAAGCTTGTCCCTCTGCCGCAGCGAAGAGGCCAGCCAGTGTGGAAAGCAGCAACAGCATCGTCACCATCTCGGGGCCGGGTAGCTGTCGAGGGACCTGGAGTTGGGGGAAACAAAGCAGCTGGGGTCATTGTGACCCTCTTGAGGACACACATTCACAGGGCAAGATTCCCGTGCTGGCTGCTCCTCCTCCCCCCAGCCCCTGCGTATGCTTCATCCTTCAGGGGACACCTGATTGTTAGCACTGCTGTGAGACCTTCCTCCTCAGAGCCTTGTGCCTTTGTTGGGGCGCCCTCTGACTGGCATAGGAGTTGGTTGAATTGATTTTGCACCCCAGCCTGCACCTACTTATGCATTTCCCAAGGGATCACCCCCAGGACCTCCAAGTGTCAGACTCAGCAGACACCTGTCAAATGCACAGAAACAATGAGGGGGCCAGGCAAAGGGGGAGAGTGAAGTCTTCAGCGAACTATGAAAGGAAAAAACAAAGCAAAACAAAAGCAAAACCAATACCATGCACAGCCTTTAGTGTCCTCTAAGATTCATAAGGGAAGTGCCCCCTTTTGCTGGGCAACTCAAGAGTGGGCCTGGAAACCTTAACACAGTGCAGCGTGCTGGGCACTCCAGGGTTACCCTGACTGGGCTCGAATTCTGGCTCTGCCACATGCTAAGTATTAACATAACTGTTTTCAGTTTATGCCTTAGCTTCTTTGTCATTAAGTGGGAATAATAATCATACCTACCCCGTGAATTTTTGTGAGAATTAAATGAGATAATACACAGAGAGTAGTTAGAGCAGTGTCTGACACAGAGTAAATGCTCAATAAATGCTAGTTATTGTTGTTATAAAAAGCAGAAACAAATGATTGTATTTCCCAGAATTCTTGTTTTTTTTTTTGACATTCTGCTGAGGGTATTTTTCATAGAAGATGTGCGTTTAACTAGAGAAGGATGGTCAGCTGATGTGGAATTGTACAGCCAGCATTTCAGCCCCGAGGGTTCTATGAGGCTAGGGGAGGGAGGCTGCGCTGAGTGCAGGTTCTGGGGGATCTGAGCTCCTCCCTGCTTCTCTCACTGACTTGCTTCTAGTGCGTTCCCTTCCTTGTGACTCCTGCCTGTTGCTTCACATGAGCTATTCCCAGCTCTTTGCCTTTTTCCCTGTGATGGAGATGACTGATGCGATGCAAGCAAAATGTTCTCAGATCTGAGCATTTGAAAGGCTGTGTCATTACAGGAATAATTATAACTGCTTTATTATGAGTCTCTAAGCTTCCAAGTAACCTTTAATAATCAATAGCTTTTCTTCTGGAGGTTTCGTTGCCTGGTTTTCAAAAGAACAGTTACGTAATGAGTGAAAGCTGCCAGCTGGGGCTGCTGAGGGAGGGTGTGGTTGCCGAGCACCCTTGAGCAAGTCTGCGGTGGGACCACCTTCCTCAGTCTTTGAGGCTCCACTTCCCTTCCGCTCCTACCACCATGCAAACAATACTTGTCTTTTAACCTTTTGGGGGATGATGGATGTATTGAAACCCACAGAAATTTGCATCTATTTTCAAGAGATTCTTAGAACCTCTGGAGCCCTACTTAGCAGGCCCAAGCTAAGGGCCTTGCTCAGAGGATCTGCCTCAAAGGATAGCCACATGTTACGCACATTCTACAGGGTCTCCAAAACTGGACCAGACCCTAGAGCTCACCTATCCAACCCTACTCCCAAGCATACAGATGGGAAAGCTGAGGCCTGGAAGCAGGCAGAGAGCTGGGCCTTGGCCCCATCTCCAGCTCCCCTATCTGTAGCACCCTGAGCCTTCCTCCTGGGCAACCCCTTGGTTGCCTTTTGATAAACACCTGCCTCTGTGCCCTAATGAGTCTCGCTTCACCATGTGACAGGTACAACAAAAGTCAGTTCCATATCTTGCCCTGATGAATGTCTTATTATAAAGCATTCTCTTGTGGGCTGAAACATATTCTTTAGCTCTGTGGGAGGATTTCAGAACAAAGCTAATTTCCTTGATTGCAGTTCTTCCAAAGATGCCTCTTTGCCGCAGCAGCTTTATTCCTATGGTTAAAACTCCCAGTGAGAGAAAGGGTGGATGGCATCCATAATATTTTTCAATGCACCTTCCATTCCCATTTACCCAACACTTACTGAGCACATTATTGATATATACTTATGAACTTGGCTAAAATAGATTTTTGCGTCTTCTTGATACCAGTAGGAAGATTGTCCTAATGAGGAGTTTAAATACTTTAAA